TCGGCACTTGCCGCTTGCCAGCGATTGGGTGTTAAAAAAAATATTATGAAGAAGATGACTGTGTGTGTGTGTCCACTCCAGTCATATCATCTGTGTTATTCAATTGATGGCCAGGTCTGGGCTTGGGGACCAGGATTTTCCCATTCCCTCCAGGCTGTCAGATGGCTGGCTTGTGAAGCCTTTCCAGACTTGAGAAGGGCCCTTAATAGCATCAGCGGATCACTATGGGTCCAATACGGCAAGAGGGTTACACAACGTTGTCCGAGAACTAGATTAACACCAGGTACTACTAGTAGATGTACCTGCGCCGACAAGGGAGTCAGGTGAAATCTGCCCGGGCTGTCCGTACTGGGATAGTCTGCTGAAGCAGTCCGAGCGTGCCTTTGCTACTGCCTGGCATTGCGGCACTCAAAACTACTTCGAGAGGGAAATAATTGATAGCATTAGGTGCTGAGGAGGATATCATCGCTGTCTGTACGTGCACGAAGAGATCTTAGAGCTGGAGTGGAGAGACTGGGCAATCCAATGTCATGATGTCACGCGCCATGCTTGTTTGTTTACAATTGATGGATGACGACGCCAGGCAAGCTTGAGAGTGTCGTGCTCTCTCGGTGTGATGCCAGTTCAAATCCTTTGTTTATCCTGCCATCAAACGAATGGCCGACGCAAGCACGCGACCACCCCGGGAGGGATGAAGGGAATGTTTTTGTTTCCATTATCAGCACAACTTCTAATACAACTTAGCACTAGTATTCGGCGATCCTTGCCCGGCCCGGTCTCCCTTCGCTAATCTCCTTGTATGTGTTTCCAGTCCGGATCCAGGAAAAGTAGTATGAAGCACTGAAAAGGTTTTGTTTACAAACTACAGCGTGTACAATGCGTGTTTGCGTTGTGACGTACTGTGACGTGCTGTGCGAGAGAATTCTCGTATTAGCCGTGCCTTTGTCGTTGTCATTTTTCCCGTCACTAGCAGGCCACGTTCGCCACGATCCGCCAAAATCTTTGCCAAGACCTGTCCCATCAGCTTCAGCTGCCAACTGGACTATTTCAGATCAGGCCTGGCCGCATTCCAACGTCGTCCAGGGCCGATGACGTGAATTGGTATGACTTCAACTCAAGTACACAGTGCAGTGGTGTACGGCAGCCATGCACTGAACTATCCGTGTTGTCAGTGCGATTGCTCGCTGCTGAACGTCTAGATCAGAACAATGAATGGAAAAACTCCCGTGGTATGTTTTGCGATACAAAGAACACTGCCTCAGCTGGTTACTGTTTTACAGTATTTTAGTAAACTGTTATAGTGCCAGTCCATGCAACACAGTGTTCGGTGCTAAGTGGCGCTGCGCACCTCTACTATGACTGGAAAAGTAGTTATTATCCCTGCTACGATACAAGCCATTTACACGACCATGAGCTGCAAACTACTTGGTTTTCAGGAAATACTTGCACTAAAGATGCCCAGAATCACTCACTCCAGTGACACTTGGAGAAAAAGATCTAACCTTTCCATACGCCTTTGCCTGGTGATTGAATAGTACTTCAACGCTACAGTAATGAATCGGTGAAGTTACTTCTTACTTAAGTCCTGTGCATGATGTCGTTGTGCAGTGCTGGTGATGGAGTGAATATGGAATTCTACAGAAAACCTACTTCAATAAAGTACAACAATAATTATAATCGCTCTTGAAGAGTCGAGCGTGGAAGAGAGTAGCACTGTTTTTGTTGGGGGCCAGGGGGCGTCTGCGCTGACATGACAAGGCGGACCATATCGCTCTTCGCAATCAATCATCCCAGTCTGCGCCGACTGAAACCAATAGATTAGTACGTAACCGACTGCTATCTCACACCTCAGGCTAACCACGGCCGCACTACCACACGAGTACTGTCCCTCGTTCACGCTCACTCTCTACAAATCAGCACTGACAATACGCCTACCAACGCTATCGGAGTCAGTACTTCTCATGTCATTGTGCTGGGCAAGAGAGGAATAACGAAGCTGAGGAAAACAAACTGCGCAAGATCTCTCTAGTGACTGAGAGATGAAAGGATTGAGATAGCCTGCCAGTGACTGATCAGATCATGGAACTGGAAGATGAATTAGGCGAGAAAGAAAACAGAGATGCGAAAGAACAAGAAGCTATGATACTGACAGGTTCGTGATGACATTCGCCTTGATTCCACGTGGACACCGTGGGCCAGTATTGTGTGTTGATGACAAAGTTAGTTGACTGGCGATGAATACTGCTGTCAGCTGCTGCCAAGACAAGTGTGATCAGATGGGTTATTACCCCTATTCAAATCAACGACAAGTGACTGTGGATGTCTGACGTTATTTCCATGTGGCCATGGATGTCTGGCCCGCTCTGCGAGAAAGACGAGTTTGGTTGCTTTGCAAGCCGTAGATTACGCTAGAGTATTAACTGGAAACCCACTGGTGTCGTCATTGGCGAGCCATGTAGAGTTACTTATGTACCTTTGGGCAGTGTGCGAAGAACCAACAAGCCTACTTGTCTGCCTTGTCCGAGGTCTGAGCCAGAACGTGACTGTGTGTACTGCATCTCCTTGTGTCACAAAATACTGGCGTGATGTTCGATCTCCCTCTCTTTTTTTGCAGACTGCATGGAACTAAGTTACTTCTTTGCTCACATAGTCGCACCACACATGCCTCTACAAATACACTTGGTGTATATACTGGCAAGTGATGAGAAGGGAGTTTTTGTGACACCACTCAAGAGCGATAAGCCATTCACTCTGCACGCCCTGGATGGATGGATGGATCTACAGCCTGTGCCGGAGTAATTCGACAAAGCAAACCTGGGCCTTTGTATTTCCCCGCAATTTCAGCTGTTGTAGTTGTAACACTGATTTGCTTGTCGGCACGCGTATACCCACTCGTGGACTCTTCTCTTCAGAGCAAGTGAACCAGACTAGGGCGGTGCGCGCTTGAAATGACCTGCCCTGTTCATTTGTCACATCTCGAGCACGGCGCACAGCGGGGTTACTACAACAAGAACATTGACAATTTCGCAGATACAGTCATGTACCCACGGTAGCCACAGAATACCTGCAACCGAGTGACACTGGAAATGGCCAAACAATAATAATATCGTGTTGATTGAAGTGGTGCCGCATGACATTCATGTACCTCTCGCTAAACTGCACGAAGGCGCGTGAAGGCTGCGTAGAGCCCGACACAACAATACTGCAACACTCACTTGTAAATGCTGGAAGAGCGTAGCACAAATACCAATGCCTACTAAGTACAATGTACAACAATCAATCCAATCAAGAGCAACAGCCTTCCCTGCATCTGGCTTCCGAACAACGACGTTATCATGGCAACTGCAGGTCTGCACGTGATGTCAATAGAATGCAAAGGAAAGAAGTTTAGAAGGGAAAGTCGGAATATGGGAAAGATATTTGCTGGGAAATGATAACTGCTGCATCATACCGTGTTGCATACTTGAACGTAGCAGACACACATTGGAGATCCCCAAACTAGCCAAAGGTGTCTATCATCGCCACGCACCGAGCCAAGCCAAGGTCGAGGTCAAGCTCAAACATGTTCCGGCGCCAGAGAGGAGCAAGCATGCAGATGATGACAGCGGGATGCTGTACATGATGAAGACTGTCTTCTGAGCATTGTTGGCATTATGTCGAGTTTTGGCATCTTCGCAGCCATGGCTAGCACACTCCGTCAATCCGACATAGGAAATACCGTACTCGCACGATTACGGATTAGAGCCCTCTCTCGAATAGGACCCCAGTCTAAGAGCCAGTGGAAAAATAAAGCCCTCTCTTGAATAGTGCTCCCCCTCCCCCCCCCCCCCCGAGCTTGTAACCAAGCGCAAGTGCCTGTTTGGTGTTCTTTTGGTAACGTTCTTGTCTAACGTTATGTCATTGAACTAGAGTGGTTGGTTTCAGGATCAAAATCGCAGTTTTTGTCGCTCTTTCTGTAGAATTGTGGTAGTTTACAGTGTTTAGGCTCTGTTTTTCTTCGCCATCTTTGTTTTTATGCGGGATGAAGTAAATGTACCATTATTTTAAAAAAAAAGTTGTCTCTTGAATAGTGCCCTCTCTTGAATAGTGCCCCATCTGTGATGGACGTTGAAAAAATAGTGCCCCAGGGGCACTAATCGCGCGAGTACGGTAGATCAGATGCATATGGGCGCACAAAATGATAATGAAGTATTGAATACTCCCAGTACTTGAACTGAACGTGGTAGGGCGAGTGTAAAATTGTTTGTCACCAAGTGTAAAGGGCATATGGCGCGCTCTGTTTACACGTCATTAGGCTTAGATCTACCAATTCACTAAACCGTGTATGTAGTATAGGCGATTGTAACGCCATTACTCTCCTTCTCGTTTGCATGATGAGTTGTTGACTGACAAGTGGTGTAGAGTAGAGAATGAAATCAGCAATCTCAATCTGACTCTTCAGTCTACAGACTACAGTCGACTCATAACAGTCACGTAGTCGTAGGTCTACATGATGATGATGCAGACCAGGCGATCGGGCGGCCCGAAAGACATCTCGCTTGCTGCTAGCTTGGTCGGACACTACAGTGACACTACACTCTCAGAGCGCCAAGACAGACGCGACTTCTCCCGCCCCTCATAACACAATATCCTGGAGAGCGGGTAGCGATCAGCCGACCAGCGACTGGTGCGCCGCGCTCGCTTCTTGAGGCATGGAATTGAAAACGAAAGTGCTCGCGTCAGTACGGCGTTTCAACGCGGCTTCAGTAGACCTGCCTCAGCCTGCCTGCTCGCGTGGCTGATGACCGAGCTTTGGGCTTGAGGCCGTTTATCAATATCGGCCAGGAAGCGGTCTACCACGGCTTTTCTCCGCTAGTGAATACCGACTTGAGGCCGTTTGTCATACAGGCACTCGCCCGTGGTACGCGCGCATTGCATGCCTTGCTTCGTGTCATGAACGTGCCCGTATATAACCCCCATCAACGCCATTCTGTTTTCTGTTATTTGCTTCTGTTGTTCAGAGTGCAGGCGAGGATGGAGGCGGACGACAGGCAGTCCTCCGCGAGCACAAGAAACAGTACCAGTGTGTCAGGTTCAAGGTGCGTAGAGGTCACGACCTGTTCCAGATGCCAGCAGTGTCTAGCATCCTCCATTCGTGCAGATAGCTTAGCGCTGCTCCGTTCAGCACAACGTGGAACTGAGGCGGCTGAGGCGGCACGGCCAGCTACATCAGCAAGGCCAGAGCATGGTCTCTGTCACAGATCCGGACGACAAAATGGCAGAAGAATATGGACGTTATGGCCGAGCATCTTCTCGGCCTCGCTATTACTGCTACTGGCAATTGGACTGTGTCAGGGCAGAGCAACGTTACCTGCGGAGAATAGCAGCAGCAGTCTCGGACAACCCATGTCTGAAACAGGTGAGTTACATTTCTAGTTCATGTTCCATATTCACGTAATAAATACTTGAAATTAATTGTTTTACTGTTCTGAACAATCCTTAGTGAATACGCCTAGGGAGATACAGGGCTTACTTTGTTTTGTGTGGATGGCAAATACCATGATGTTGACGTCTGCTCACAGGCTCTCAGCATGAGGCCATTAGAGGTACAATGAAGTGGTCTTCAGAAGTAGTGCGCGACTCCAGCAATATAGCTACGTGTAGCGAACAGTTCTAATATGCTTGGTCGTTCCTATTGCCATTTTTGGCTGATTTATGGCCTCTGTACTAGCCGACGCGAGGCATCTGGCTCCAGGCCTGGCTTCGGATCGTGTAAGCAGGGTGTTTTGCGTTCGTTTGGAAGTAGTATGTGTTGATCGGAAGCGGTGAGCAAACGGCAATCATTCCTCCAGAACGTTCTGTGGTAAATCAAAGGAAATCTCTAATAATAATTATTATTAGTTTATTTTGTTGAAGCTGGCATTGTGGCCCTCGTGGGCATATCATTACCTAATAGCGCTTTAGTAACAAGTAAATCCTCGGATTTCAAGAGACTTCGGACAAACAGACGCCGGAATTTAGTGTTTTCTGCGGCTTGGTGTTAGTGGTCGTGATGGGGCTGTGCGTGTGTGTGTGAAGAAACACAGCACCCTCCACTGGTAACAGTGCCCCCCAGGGATAACAACTCGGCTGGCCTCTCTCCTCTTCTTCACCCCGCAGTGGCAGTGCCTGGCACACAGCATTCCCCATAGCACTCTTGCCGCAATTAGCTAGAGGTTTGACGAGCACTACAAGTCCTAGAGAATGGTGGCGGGCTAAGTAAAGGTTGGCATGGAACAGGATAAGCCTGTCTGCCACCTGCCAGTATCAACAAGAGGCAAGCGCATGGAGTTTGGCTTGTCTAAGTGTGCAGAGCAATAGGCAGGGCCGCAAGACTTAGTATTCCAGCGGAAGATGATATTTCAAACTACTCCCATGGCTCTGGTCCCTTGCATGCCCCCTGCATTAGCATAATCAATGCGAAGACTACAAGTACGGTACAATACCGTCATGTACATGTGCATGGTAGATAATGAGGGTTACACATGAGAAGATTGCTGATTTGCAGAGCGCATGAGTGCGTTGAAATGAATACCATCCTGGACACAGTGCTACGGCAAAGGTGTGAACGCACTCGTCATCCGTGGATCGAGTTTCCTTTTTGCCTCCCTTGACCTTGGGAGCAATTGCTTAAAGGTGATATCGCTACCGTCCTGTGCACAGCGCATACAAGTACAATGTAGCAGCGATTTCATTCCGAGTTGGTAGCTAGGGAAACTGCTACTTAAACTTAAAGAACTTATCCTCGGATTGAATTACACCATTTGCAGGTATTTTGGACACGCACCATGATGCAAGTGGATAGTGTTGAATGAGAATGGAACCATGGCAATAGACGTACATGTACATGTAGATGTACTAGCATGGTCCTAGAGTATACGTGCATGTGCTTGTCCTATCTACATGTTGGTGTAAGTGAAGGTGAAGGGATGCCGTAGTGTCTTGGCATGCAGTACTGCGTGCGGTTCTTGGGAGGCAGATGTGGACATTGCAGCTCATGGGTTTGTCGTTGTTCAAGTGTGATGTCGTAACATGGTGTAACACAGCTTTTCATGACTAGGACACTGCTCAGTCACTGCTGTGGTATGCTTGACACATGCCACAGGGTGTCTGTGCACAGTCCTGCTCGGGCCACAGCTTGGTTGTAATGGACGCTACACACACACCTGCACCTGCTGCATACTGCATACTGCACATTGCATGCCTCTACTGAAACTCAACTAACGTGTCTATGTACACGTACAATCATGTACATGTGTAGGATAATGTATGTGTCCAGCTGTGACACTGTGTTCTTGTGACCGCACATGTACGTGTACATGTATGTAAGTAATCGTAGCACTACAACGATACATGCTGCTACAAATGGCAGCATGCCACCTACTGTGTTCTCACTACCACCAACTCGCTAGCCATGTGCTGCTGCATCAGTTTACTCCTGTGTGCCCCGGTCACAGTATGGATCAGCTAAGTAGTACTGGTACATAACTGGAGTACATGCATGCACAGAATTGTTATAGCCAAAAGGGCTGCTTGTACGACTATGTCTATGAGTACTCAATATATACGTGTTCCTGACATCTTGGCTGGAAACAGGTGGCAAAGACAGACCACCAACGGCAACTCCCTTCTCACAGTATCAAACACAAATCATTTCCGTGCATTCCAAGCTGCTCTGTGTCAGCACGGGACATGTTTGTGTTTGATGAGATTAGGAGTGTGCTGAAATGAAGAGTTGTTCAGTTTATTTGTACTGGAACATCTTGTGGCTGTTTATGGTCTAGTGTGGTTTTGTTGGAACAGGTAATGTCCACAGGCACAGCACTTTGGCCGAGTAATGACTAATGGGTTCATATGCCAGTCACGCCAGTAGCAGTTATGCGTGAAACTAGTGGTATGGTTTAGTGTTGAATAGCTACTAGTACCTGCTGCAATAGTAAACTATAATGATCTGAGCATCATTTCCTGGAGTAAAAAAATGATATTGCTGTATCAGTGCACTAGTAGTAGTACCCTGCACTTGTTCAGCAAAATAGACTTGAGAGCAGCTAGTGACTAGTGTGTGTGTTTGTGTCTGGAAATATAGCATGGTGTGAGTTTGACTAGGTGTGACAAGGGTCTGCTAGTACTGTACTTCTTCTCTGCAGTGTACGAGTGTGTAGTATGGTCAGCTCAAAACTGCTTTCACTGGTGCCTGTGACTGTGTTGGAGAAGGGCAGGTTTTGCTCAGCACATGTAGTAGATCAGCTAAACAACTAGCTTCTGAGTCCTGTCCTGACCAGTGTTGTACAGTCATGTGCTTGTACTCTCTGAGCAGCAGTTCCATAAACACACTGTTCTATATCAGGCACGTCACCATGACAAGGTGTGACTTTTCTCAGCTTCACGCCTGTGTCTTTATCATGTGTCATCTAGTCACAACCCTATTTCACGCCAGCTCCAACAACTGACAAGACTGCGTAGCTGGGGCTGTTGCTATAAATAATTATGTACTAGTAATATCTGGAATGTAGTGCTAGGGACATGGAATCACGCTATGGAACAACCTGCAACTATAAAATCTAATGATGAACTAGTGGTACTGTAAAGGATGCTGGCTGTCACTGGGCCATGCTCTGTAATCAAGTTTTAGTTGTTGTCACTTTGTTTTGATTTGATGGCAGCAATGAGTAACTCTGCGATAGTCTGCTACTGACTGTGAGTGAACCTGATTGAGCATTGACAGCATTGACAGCATTTTTCTCTTGCAATGCTGCTTGCAATCATTTGCCTTTCCTGTCAGCGATTGATGATGCACAATACAAGTAGGATTGCCAAGAATGCCTGCAGATGAGCCAGGTTGGAATGTACTGTATAACACCTTTATTTCGGTGTAATTTAAATTTCGGTAACTTCGGTACTGTAGTCCGAACAGAACACTTTGTTATACAGACTTGGGCAAGCAATAGTGTTATTAGTGGGGGGGGGGGGGGGGGGGACGTACATGTATAATGGACTAGCTTGTGCCACTGCCGGGGCAGATATACTAGAGAGGGTTCATCGATGACATCATCAGCATTACTACTAAGACATGGGCTCTTATCTTACTGCCGTGGAAGTTGGTGCCTGCATATTAGGCTACTGTTGAGTGTTTGAGCAGTATCAGCCGAAAGCAAGAATAATAAATTAGGAGATAGCATAAGCATAGCAAGAGAGTGTGGCAGACAAGAGGAGATGCCAGATGGCGGCTGAGCTATTTCTGCAGTATACCAGTGAGTGAGTCAGTGGGGTAGTATAGTAGTCACCAGTACTTGATGACCAGGGCATGGTGGTGTGTCTATGACTCATCTAATAATTATTATGAGCACTCCCTGCCATGCCACTCAACCCCCTGCTGCTGCTGGTGGTCCTACTCTGCATGATATACATGTACATTGTACATGCACTGGTAACAGCGCAGACTGCCCTCTCACCCCTTCCATCAGAGAAGTGCTACTACTAGTAATACTAGTGCTAGTACTGAGTGCAAACTAGAAATTCTCCACTGTCAGTCCTAGTCACATGGCCGGGCTGACTAAGAGTAACACATTGTGAGCATGTACAAAGTCAGTATCACGAAAGCCATGCTCCAGTACTTGAGCGTGCTGGCACGTACTTGTGACTTTGAAGCGACTGTACAATCGGTACAATCGGCTCACGCCCTATGACCGCCGTGGCAGAGCCAAGTGTTCTGAGCCCTGTATTCCAAATATTCCAACGCGGCAACACCTCAACACAGGGTCCATAGTACTGCTAAGTCATACACTGTATTCGGGTACTTCTAATCCACTGTATTGGGTGCTCTGGTATACGATACTGATGAATAACCTTGTCCAATTATAGCAAATGGCAAGTCACTTTAGTAGCCAGTTACTGGGAGTCCCTGATCTACCCTGTCACTGTCTGAGCAAAGTGCCTAAGTATGTTACTAAGTGCTGAATTCCTCAACTCATCTAATTTGCCTCAGTGATAAGTTGGTTAGTTGTGTTGTCGTATGGCCAGCAGAGTGTCAAAGGGTGTTTCCCCTAGCCTGGCCATGGAACCAGAAGTCCGAGAAGAGGGGAGAAACTCGATACTGTGCCGGCTACACCCACTCCATTCCTCCAATCATGAGCCATATGCCAGTGTGCATGTATGCACTTGTCTCTTAGTCATGCAAGTGCCTTCCTACTGCCTTGAGTCAGGATTGCATCCTGATAGTTATGTCTGTTTAGTCTAGACTCTTCAGCTAAACCTTTCCTCTGACGTCTGTAGACTGGTGCTGTTTGCTATAATTTGCAAAGAGATCAGTTCGTCAGCCAGTGCTGCTGAAACGTGCACAACTGTTCACCTTAGTACAGTGCGTGGAATTATGATTTTGGAATTAGATACTAGTCTTGTGCCTTGGTGAGCTGGCTTTGGACCGGGCATTGTTGCATGCAGCCTGGCCTCATCAGATGCACACACATGTTGCTCAACTTCTTCAGAATGACAATCTGACTTGGGCTATTGTATTGGAGAGTGCCACTTCCAAGCGCCCTGTTCTAAGAGAGAGAGAGATGAGAGATGAGGGGATGTGTCCAAGAGTGTGCGTGTGTGTGTGTGTGTGTGTGTGTGTGTGTGTGTGTGTGTGTGTGTGTGTGTGTGTGTGTGTGTGTGTGTGTGTGTGTTGAAGCTCTAAGAATGACCATGTACAAAACAAACTTGGACAGTTTGGGCCAGAGAGCTGGACAGGGGCCCAAGAGCTGTGTAATACTTGTAGCTAGTCCAGTATGTGCCAAGTGGTATCCACTGTCTAAGCCGAAGTGCCCTCTGAAAGATCAGTGCTCATAACCTACTCTCCGTTGACAAGAGCTTCAGGAGCATGCTTCCATGTTCTCTGTACCTATCTTGCCATAGCACTGCAGAATGCTATTGTCTAGTGTTATGCTAATAGTGACGCAGACACAAATAGCAGTTGTATTGTAGTTCACATTGAACAGTGCTTGAGGCAGTGTGAGTTGTAGTCTTGACCCACGCACAACAATGTCGATTTCCAAGTAGTCATTGCTGCAACTGTGAAACCCACTGACCTCAACGCCCACACAATGTCTTTTGCATAATACTGTCCTGTGGGGGGGGGGGGGGATTGGAAATGGGGAAATATGAGATAGGAAGGCAGTCGGCTTCTTTTACGCTGACATGCAGGTGTTCTGCATTGTCCACAATCATGTACGGCACTGCGATGCCATGGTGCAGTGCATACATATAGTCTGTCTGGTTACATGTATATTACATCACCAGACATCAAGGTATTAATTTGCACTAGTGCTCTGCACACTGGCTGCAGTGACATTGAATGATTAGGAGTGGCGTCGTAACCTCTTGCAATGTGTTAATATAATCAGCCTGGCATGACAGCTCCATGACATGCACACAGCTTGGGTCCAGTATACCCTTGCGATTGGATAGCCAACGTAAATTCACCCAAAGTCAATGCATAGCTTAGTGGTCATAGACGCTCTGCCAGTGTGTAGCGGCTATGTGTACGTTTTATTGTATTTGTCCTGGTTGGTGTAACTATGTACATGTACATGTGTGGTCAGTGAGTGTTGGCGTGTATGATAGACATGTCGATCTGCCCAGTCATGTATTGTCTCCTCCATGGTCACACATACTGGCCTACATGATAGGTAGTACAATGTCATGTACTGCAGTATTAGATCCTGCTGCATTTTCTAAGAGAAAATCAAAAATCCAGCCGACTCCTTCATGTGTCCTGAAATCTGATCGGAGAGTACATGTCATGTAGATCTGTTATGGCTCTTACTACCAATCTCACCCAATAGCATCCACCTACTCTATCCAGCCTGGCTAATATTATCATTGCGATAGCAATAAATTGTGACGATTTGATGTAGTGAATCGCTTGTGGAGTCAGTTTGAGGACGTGACACCAACCAGGCAGCTGCTGCTTTGCCCGAGGCAATGAATAGATTGTCATTCCTTAGTTAGTGTTCACTGTTGCCTGCCAGCATACCTCTAGCCAGCAATGGGACCTCAGAGAGAAGTCAAAGACATAAAGCCACTATGCTGATACATGCTCGTACACAGTGGGATTTTGATTGTCTGCACACAGTCTACCGTACTGGGACTGAACCATCCATATACAGGTACAGCTGTTTGGCCTGTAGGCTATAGCAGTTGGCTTACAAGTACTATTGGGCAATAAAAGCTGTGGCCACAGGGGTGCACATGTAGTCACAATTGCATTGGTTTCTTGACGTGCAGCGACCGCCACGCCATGGATAATATAAAGGAGATAATTATGTCGTGCGCAAACTACAGTTTCCCTTGCTTGAAGGGTTTGACATGATGCTTAGCAAGTCAAGGCAGTCAGTGTGGTTGAGAAGAAGCATACGCAGGCATGTACCTGCGAGAATGCCTTTAGTCACCACCTCGGCTGGAACCACTCTATTTTAGGCGCAGTGTTGTCAGCAGGTGTATCCCTAGAGGCTACACCAGCATGGATATTGTGCATGTAACGAAGAAGGTAGAATGTTGCTCTGCTCCTGGACTCTGATCAGCTATAAAACATCTGCCCTGTAGCCAGCATGGTTACTGCCTCAGTCATTCCCAAGAGCTGTGTGTACACGCATTCCTCGGTGGTCTTGCCTGAAGCAGAAAATCCGTACCAGTGGAATTGCCCATGAAATGCTGGATGGCGTCCATGGTGAAAGGCAAAAGAAACTTTGGTCGATTGTCTTGTGAAGGCATTGTTTGTGTTATACGACGCATAGTTCACTGTTACTGATTGGACAAAATACTCAAACTTATACCCCGCTGGCTATTGGGTATCTCATGTGCTTCGAGTAGGAACAGTTTCCAAGGATCATACACAATTGGTCATTAGCCACTTTTGAAGGGTAGCAATTTCCGGTCGACTCTTTTTTTAATGTGTATTCGCCTTCTAGCGTTTCCGGGGGCAATAAGAATTGTATGCATGACAGATAAACACAGATGAGGATGAGCTGTGAATGTGAAAATCGGGGTGCAGCAGAATCTACTTTACAAGCGCCTGCAGGCTATGCCTTACTGCTCAGATGTCTGTGTGTTATACAGTTTCATTTATGCAGCTATATCAATTGGCTCGTTGAAGTGTTTCGTAGACACCAACAAACCAGTTACACACATTACCGTAGTCGCCTCTGTCTCTCTTTCTATATCTGTCTCTTTCCCAACGATCTCGTCCCTGTACACGCTTGAAGTGCCTGCATATGCTGCTGGATGAGATCATGGATTTGTTGTCCTCCTCGGCAGACTGCAGTACTGTTGTGTGCATTTACGGTTATGCCATGATCTAAACTGAACCATTTTCTCTTCCCGTATGTGTGTGTGTTGCTATTCGCAGACTGGAGAAGACTCTACGATGAACCGATGGTAGAGGAAGACGAGATAGCTGAGATCCTGTCACGAGAGCCAGTACGTTCAGTTGGAGATGTACTGGTATCAGACATCAGTATAGCTGCCAAAGCCACAACAGCAAAACAAGAGAACGACAGCAGACATGGCAGTGGTGATAAGTACGCCGGTAAACCCAGGCCAGACAGCCGGAGAAGTGCTGGGAAAAGCAGAAATCAGAGACGAGAGTATGCGTCAAGCTTCGACTGGGAACCAAAGCAACATCACCCGCGGAGACATCGGGGCCATAAACAACGCTGGAGGCGCAATATAGGCAGCTCATCCGCTGTGGAGCTGTGGCCAAATGGTACCATTCCATTTGCCTTCAGCAGCCGCCTGAAAAATGGTAAGTTTTGGAATGTTGTATACCGTTCAGTGGTGCTCAAGGAGCCTTCAAGCGGCGGGCTTGTGTTGCTACGGTGCAGCTCAATAAACAGCCCCACCCTCCCTCGCCCCCATCCCCACCCCCCTCGCCCAGCAATGCTCACTCTGGAAATTCAGATTTTGCTTGGAGCATAGAAATGCAAGTGCCCCGTGTGAAAATAGAATAGAGCACCTGTGTATACGTGTGTGTGTGGGGGGGGGGGGGGGGAGGGGGAGTTAGACCAAACACTATTATTATCTGTGTTTGTTTCTGATGCCGGTATATTCCTAAGCTTACTGTCTTTCATGTGTGTGTGCTTGTGTGTGTATGGGTATGTGATTGTGTGTCTACAGCAAATCGTAATGGAACCAACACTGGAGATTACGACCTGATACGCATGGCGATTCGGAAAGCCATGCGCATTTGGGAGGACAACACGTGCATTCGATTCGTACCATACACACAGAAGCTCTACCAGAATTGGATAGTTTTCAAGCCACCAGAACCAGGCAATGAGAACAGGTAAGGCGGTACAGAGAGACCCTGATCGAATTCATCAACTACTTCATTATGTGAGACTTTGCTACACAGTCTAGACTCCTTTTCTTTGTACTGGGCGGATGGATCCACAAGCAACAAAACGGGACTGTATTCGTATTGGAATAAACGTAATTGTGATAATTTTTGCGGTCTGCATGTGTTTGATGATGTGGCGAATGATGCCTGTTGAGTTGCTCACTTTGTGCTTGGATGCTTCTTGTTGTCGGTGTTGTGTACACAGGCGCTGCTCGTCCTACATCGGTATGAACTATGGCATACAGCCTATCTATCTGGGACGCGACTGTCAATATGATCCGGGCGTTATCATGCACGAACTCGGACACGTCATCGGCTTCCATCATGAGCAGAAGCGGCCAGACCGCGAGAAGTTTGTGCGCATCTTCTGGAAGAACATGGTGGCTGGTAACTCGACGCGCGAGCAGTTTGACATCAACTGGCAGATCAAGACGTACAACGAGTCCTATGATCTGGACAGCATTATGCATTACGGCAACTACTACCTGAGTAAGCGGCCGGGCTTCTTGAAGACACTGGAGTCCAAGGAGAACCCAGACCGACGTCTTGGACAGCGCGAGCGCCTGACATTGTCCGACATTGCACGGACAAACAAGATGTATGGCTGCCCGTACCCGGAGCAGTGCATCACAAGAAAACACCCGATCAGATCGGGTCGTCTAGTCTCACTCATGGTCAAGCACGAGATCAGCAAGAACCTTGAGCACACCACAAAATGGCTGAGCTGTCGTCGTCAAGACGGCCGGTGTCGACGCATGAACTGCGGTCAGCTGGCCGAGGGCGACTGCAACAGCTATCCACGCCACTGCGGCAGCGAGCTGTTCATCATCGAGCGCGCGCCGGGCCGCCTAGCCAATCACAAGGTGTACGGCACCGGGCCAGTCATGCTGCGCGCTCACGTGCAGCCGCATGTTCGTGGCGGACGACGGCGTCGCCGTAGCAACAGCACGCAGCACGGCTTCCTGACCTGCTACCAGAAGAACGGACGACGTCAGAAGGAGTGCCGCATCGTGCCCTGTGAGAGCAACAACCCGTATAAGGACTGCCCGCTGGCCAGGTTCTTCTTCCTGACGGCGCGACGGAACGCGACACGCAATCTCAGCGGAAACATACAGGCCATGGACGCCACGGCTGCTGCTATGGAGGATGAGATCCTAGAGAACACCAAGGTCGGCCTGTGTCAGGAGGATGATCACAATCGTATTCAGTGCGTGCACTGCCAGAGCAAGAACCTGTGCATGCTGGAAGACTGTGGCACACGACAGCAACCCAGTGCTGTGTGCGAGGAGTTCTTCATACAGCTACGCCAGTGGACTATGGCTGTACAGAATAGTATAAATACGACTTGAGCTAGATAAACATTTGTACTCTATTGTCCCACTTCCTCCTCTAATAATCTATTATGACTATCACTTTATGAACTGAAACCTGATCCTGTCGTTTGAGAAACAGGTGTTGATACACGTGAACAAACACAACTTGACCGAGAAGTGACGATGCGTAATCACCGCAAACACGTCGACTGATGATGTTGATATTTACGTCCTATACCGTATACGACCATGACTTGACTTTTCCTGAAGGCGTTCGTCTGTGCGCCAAGATCTGCCGCTTCACTCCCGCTTCAGCTGGTAAAGATCGGGATCAGCGGGCACCAAGACAATGACTCCGTGCATCATCCCGGGATCCCGGGTCTCAGACCTTCCTGCGCAGATTTACATGCACTACACATTACTACGGGCAAACACGGCAACAGAGCATTTCTTCAATTCTTGATAATATTATAATTATGGTATCTCCCTCTCCCCCCTCCCCAACCCTTTCCCCCTCTGATCCCAGCAATACCATTATCGAAACACTCTGTAAGAATGCTAGATAGTATTGCCATATTCACCATCACCATCATTACTGCCTGGTCAAGCTACTTATTGATATATTAGTATATTGGTAACAAGCACCCGATCCACCACCCAGCTATAACACAATAGACTCACTCAATGATATGGAATCCACCCGACTCTGAGAGCACAGTGCCTTTCCGAAGTTTCCATGAAGTTATCGCCCAAAATAGATCTATTAGGGATCCCCCCCCCCCCCCCCCCCCCTCACTATGCAAACATGTAGTGCCCATCACCATCCGTCCCATACACTGAGTCGACTGCGAATGAAAAGAGTTTTGTTCTTGAACCTCCTATCTAATTATTTTTTACTCCATTTCCAACATGAAGAAACCTGTTACACAGTACCCTGGGCAGTGTTATGGTGTGACATTCCATGCCTCCATGCATGCTGTCGCCTGTGAATTCCGCAACTCGGCGGATTGCAGAATTAAAGCAGAATATAGAATGATTTGCAGAATCGCCGCTGTGAGCTGCAGACTTCTGCACAGAATTTCGGGTATTCTGCCGCGGAATTCACGGGGACAGTGCATGCCGATACACTGTACGTTGTGTTCGAAAATGACTCATTAGTAGTGTTTGGCAAGCTGCAACAGTACAATTTGTCAAACTACAGTGTATGTACGTGTCGTCAAATACATGAAACACACATGCGCACACACACATGCGCACACACACACGCACACAGACTCAGACCTCAGACATGCCCATCGCGGAAGCGATGATAGCGAACAGCTATGTTAGACATAGCAACTTGTGCTGGGAGTACACCATTCAACAGCTTGCAAGGCTGATGAATTGACCGCCACTAATTTTTAGCCTGGTATCCACCACACAGCTGATTCAAGTGACTTTTTGTGGTCAGTGAATCCCTATTTTTCACTTTTCCATTTTTTACACACACACACGCACGCGTACGCACGCACACACAAATACAACAATCATACGTGGATCTCACCACACGCATGCAAGGGAAGGGGATGTTGTGGCAACACACCACACACGAAAAGGTATTTGACCCATGCTTCACAGCGGCCATCTTTCAGAACTCACTTTCTATACTCACAACCAGGGAGTCGTATATTTACGACTCCTGCTCACAACCTCAACTGGGCTACTGCATGCCATGGGCACACTGGATTCCAGGTACAGCCAACACTGACATGCATCATACAGGGCTTGAAAGTGCTACGTCACAGCATAACAACAATTTCAAAAATTCAAAACTGGATCCACTTGTATCCAGTTTTTGTATGGATCCAAGCACATTTCAAGCGGTCTTACTCACAGCAAGGTGATGTCGCCAGTGAAACTGACCGGGTTGGCTAATGGTGGTGGGGTGACAATTGGTGGCGAAGAAAAAGTCACACCTGCATACGACATGTGTGGGTTGCTATGCACCCACACACTGAGGCAATAGCAAAGTCACACCTAAGTGGATCCAAAATAGAAATCTGATGTCAACTTACTACTCCCTGGCCGTTTTTTGACGTTATCACTTTCAAGCCCTATTGACAGTGGTGCATACACCATGTCGCTGTAGATCATGATTGATGGCCAGAGCGGTGGTGATGATGGCACTGTAGATCATGATTGATGGCCAGAGCGGTGGTGATGATGGCACTGGTGGTAGTGACACAAAAGAACCACCTTCGAATGCTATGGCACAGCACACACTCGTGCTTGCGTACATCATGCACATGTCTGGCAGCTGTCACACACCGTCAAGCATGCAACACGCATGTGCACACGCACACATCTTTGACCTTGACCTTTTTACGCCCATCGCCGGAGGCGATGATAGCGATGCTACAGCAGAAGCCATAGCAACTTGTGCTCACGCACACACACACACACACACACACACACACACGCACACACACACACAAACTAGACTGTGAGTCATGCGATCTTGTGTGCTATAATAGATCGGGGTGGGTTGATCTGTCAAGAATTCTACTTGTAAGTAGCAAAGAGAAAATTGACTAATTTGATGGGGAAAATCTTTGTCTAACCTAAGAAAACCAAGAGCTGGGGAAAGGGGGAAAAATCAAGATCCAAAAACCAACTGAGGCATAGCTATTCTAAATAACTTGACTATAAAGAGACTAAAAAGAAGGCAAGAGCACTGTGCAGAGCACACTCGTGCACCCACATGCCCAGCCACTCTCCAAGAAAACAGGCTGGAATGAGTCACTCCAACAGAACTAGGACCAGCAACAAGCAAAAAGAAGACTGGCGTGCAAAGTGGTAGCCAGCAGAGGCAATGCCAGTGGAGCGAGAGAGAGAGAGAGAGAGAGAGAGAGAGAGAGAGAGAGAGAGAGAGAGAGAGAGAGAGAGAGAGAGAGAGAGAGAGAGAGAGAGAGAGTGCGAGCGAGCGAGAGAGGGAGAGAGAGTGAGAGAGAGAGAGAGAGAGAGAGCGAGAGAGAGAGAGTGCGAGCGAGCGAGAGAGGGAGAGAGAGTGAGAGAGAGAGAGAGAGAGAGAGAGCGAGAGAGAGAGGGAGAGAGAGAGAGAGAGAGAGAGAGAGAGAGAGAGAGAGAGAGAGAGAGAGAGAGAGAGGATGGGTGGGGTGAGAGAGACTACAGCTAGAAAGGGTGGCAGGAGATAGAAGTAGCAAACACACAGGCGAGAGTGTATGTTCACGATGTTACAAGGCAAGAGAACTGGGGTCGGGGACGATAAAGGACAAGGAAGCTAATACAAGGACTGATGCATGATGTTTCGTATATATTCGAAAACAAAGAGTGTTTGCACAGAGCGTGAATAAAGTCGGGAAAGAGAGAGAGGAGGTATCCGGAATACGTCTTTTGATGTCGATAGTCGATGAGAACAGCTAAAAATGTCCTACCTTAGTTGGAGCAGGATTGGTGACATGGCGAGGCTGCCTATGGCATTGAAGACGGCACACTGGTCACCAAACTAGAGAAAAAAGGTGAATACAGCGAAGAACAAGAAACACACAGGCATGGTGAATGCACAAAACAGAAACAGGATGACATTAGATATTGACAAGTTGATACTCAAAGTACATATTGACAAGTTGATACTCAAAGTAGATATTGACCAGTTGATACTCAAAGTAGATGTTGACAAGTTGATACTCAAAGTTCAAAGGCATTTGGAGTAACCACTAGACAACATCTGACAACAGTTACACAGACGATAAGGAACGAGGAGAGTGCCCAAGATTAAACAGGGGGGGGGGGGCACAAGATATGAACTTAGCGCTGTGCAGGAAAGGTGTTGGACAATAGGTTACCCACGTCCATGTATGCATGTACATGTGCCGGTGTACAAGCGTGTACAAGTGTGTACAAATGCGTGTGTGTGTGTGCGCGCGCGCATGCGTGAGTTCACTACTTGTAGCATCAATGACTTACAGAGATGGTTCCCGTGCGCCGCCGTGCTTGTCATCCTATCAATCAGATGTAGATAATTTAAAGGAAATGCACGCACACACACACACACACACACACGCACACAGATACAGACATATGCGGGAGGGCAAGAGGGGTAGAGGGTGCGGGGGGATGGGGTGTCGTGAAGAAAGACAATCTGAGCACAGAAATAGCGCTCAAGCACTAGAGTCAATACTGCGGATGTTGAAAAGAAGGAAAGGAAGCACACGGCAGTAGCAGTGGCAGTGGCAGCAGCACCCTCTACTTGACACCATCAATGGCACAGAAATAAAACAATCTCGGTGGGAAGATGAAAACGATAGAAATGATTTGAAAGGGAAGGTTCATTGATTTGTAAAGATAGACCAATCTGTTGATGTTAACTTAATTAGACTACTCTGTGCATGCAGAAAACAGTACAATGGATAGATGTATTACACGTTTCTATGGACTTGAAGGCTCCGTGCTAGTGACGCATGATCCTCCGCTGAGCCCAAAGATCTCGCCGAGCATACAAACACACGTACACACACACACAGACACTTGCATACACACGTACACACACATACACAGACCACTGGACAGCAACAAGGCGGTGGCAGGTGGCACACACACACGCACACACAGTGGCAGCGCCGCTACTGCTGGCGTTGCATCGGCGGTAGGTAGTAGAGATTCTGTGCTGCTGGCACCCAGACAGCCGGCGGTACATGATGAGTCACAGCAGTCATCTGCAGATTGCCCGTGTCACTGGTGGAAATGGCAGCAGGATTGCGTACTACCATGGGCGAATGAGGAACACTGGTCCCTGGCGAGCGAAAGTGCCTAGGGCTAGCGCTGGGTGACATGCCGTGGACGGTGTTATTGGTTGGAGACATTGCTGGCAAGGCACTGCCTGTGGATACTGCAGGTGAACAGGAAGCTAAGGACCTAGCAAGCACTGGCGACCTAGCATGCACTGGGGACATTGTACGCACCGGCGACATGCCGTGAACAGAGTGAGAGCCAAGAGGCGAGCGGTGCCTAGAAACGGGAGACATGTGCTGTGCTGACCCGACTGGAGATATAGCGTGCAGAGAGCTGGCGGATGGTATACGGTGCATGGACACAACTGGTGATATGCCAGGCGACATACCAGGCGACATACCAGGTGACGGAATACGGTGCATGGACCCAACTGGCGACATACCAGGAGACATACCAGGCGACATGTTAGGCGATGGTATATGATGCATTGAACTGACGGGAGTTATTCGATGCCTTGAGTTAACTGGTGACATACCCATAGGCGAGTACTGTAGAGATGATCCCGACGAGTTCCGCTGCACAAACTGAATGTGCGGATTGGAATTGCCAACTGATGATTGAGCACTGGTGCTACTCACAGACGCACGTCCACTGTTGATAGCTGCCTGAACATGTAGCGGCACAGTCGTACTGGAAGAGCTGGAGCCAGAACGCTGTCCCTGTCTTACGTACGCCATGCCCACACGTTGTGTTTGCACCATAGATACAGAGCCGGAACGCACTGTACGACTGCTGCCCCACACCGGAGAGGACGCGGTGTTGGGACGCTGCTCATCACCTGCCATGAGCGGAGAGGACACTCCACTTGACTGCTGCTGCTGCTCCCATCTTGCCTGTGTGCTTGTGTCTGTAGCGGAGGAGATGAATCTGGCAGAGTGCACTGGTCGGACAGTACTGTGGCCAAGTAGAGGAGACAACGGAACGGTGCCAGAATGAGACATGGGTGCGGAGAAAGATGCTCCCGTCGAGCTGGAGAGTGCGGGTGGAGAGGACAAGAAGACTGAATGCTGTGCCTGTTGCTGCTGCTGCTCAAGATTGGCAACATTGGACTGGTCTGAAGCAGTACTGCTACTCTGTAGGGATGACTGTGAAGACGGAAGCGAGTACATAGCTGACGATGATGAAGATGAGCTGGGAGAGAACGTGTGTAGAGGAGACCCTGAGGACCCCCTGCCTTGCTGATGAACTTGCTGGCAGCCTAGTGTCCGTCGACGCACATTCATGGCATACTGATGCCGCTGGTGAACCGATTGCGCAATCCCAGAATTAGTCGGCAGTGGCTGCAATGGTACAAAGGCACAAGCTCCAGAGGTTGTTGCTGCTGCTGCTGCAGCAGCAGCAGCAGATACATGGCTAGTAGACAGGTCAGGTGATCCAAACTGCGTCGGAGTACCATAGTGTGAAGGAACAAACACTTGGTACACGCGCTGCTGCTGCTGCTGTTGTGGGCGCTGCTGCTGGTCTTGTTGCTGCTGAAGCTCTTGCTGGCGCAGCTGAAACTGGTGATGCAATGATGCTATCATATTTGGGCAGTGGGGAGGATGGTGATGATGGGCGTGCTCTTGAGCCTGGCCGTCAATGTGCTGCTGCTGTTGCTGATAATGGAGCAGATTCTGACGAACAGCCAGCAAGTTTTGTGTTGTGTCGTAAGTGTATGCTTGCATGGGATAATGTGCAGGCCCGTTAGCTAATGCTGTAGCACGCCTCTGAAGTGCAGCCCGGTCATATGTCGATGACGGTCCTGAGAAGGCTTGGACCTTGGGAGAATGATGACGACCGCAGTTGGTACATAACGCTACACTCCGGTGTTCTGGCGAGAGCGTATCAGACAAGTGCAGTGCCTCAAGACTACTTTGAGCCGAGCTACACGAAGATGCCTCCGAGCAACAGGATTCGTTTGACTTCAAAGACATGAGCGACGGCGCTTTGGGCTTGGCCATGTGGCAATACGCTGCAGAGTTACTGATGGCTGGTGGGTTGAGCAGCGTTAGCAATGAGCCATTAGTGATGCGTTCACACCAATCTGACGATTCTGAGAGCAGTGTGCCTTGGTAACATAACACTGCACACAACACAACAAACACAACACATGAACACACGCACAACACACACACATACAAAACAATATGCCATGCGTTAAAGTGACACAAGCAGAGAGAGAGAGAGAGAGAGAGAGAGAGAGAGAGAGAGAGAGAGAGAGAGAGAGAGAGAGAGAGAGAGAGAGAGAGAGAGAGAGAGAGAGAGAGAGAGAGAGAGAGAGAGAGAGAGAGAGAGAGAGAGAGAGAGAGAGAGAGAGAGAGAGAGAGAGAGAGAGAGAGAGGTGCACATGAAGACTGGTTCCAGAGGCAAACTCAGGGATCTAACACCTGTATAACACCAACAGTCCAAGCAGACTAATACGTAGTCGTAGACCCATGATGTACTCTATACTCTATACTGTACAGCAAAGATCTCACAGAAATCAAGTACACTCAGAATGAGCTGCGGCAGCTCAGAGATAGTGTGCTCCATGCATCTAGGTGCATAGCCTTATATACAGTGACAGCAACGACTTATATACAGTAACAGCAACAACGCTTTGTTTTCTCTTCTCTAAATCAAGAACAGGCATATGTATATACAGTAACAGCAACGACGCTTTGTTTTCTCTTCTCTAATAGGCATACAATCCCAACAGGTTTTAGGACTATGATAGACTCTCTAAGGTGCTTTAGAGATCGAAAATCCATGTCCAGGTTGTTTCATCTATTTTTGTTGTTGTGTTGGAATGCAAGCTACCGGTCACCATCGCCATCCCCAAGTCACAATCATCTATGAAACACGAATGCATCACACCAGAACTCTCAGGATAATTATGATGCCTGGCCAACCATAGGATTGGCCCTAGTTCGTACTAAAGGAAAGTTCGCCTTATCAGTGTTCGTCCTAACGAGGTTTGACTGCACAGGCAAAGTAGTGTATGCACACAACAAACCGGTCCAGACTAACAGATACACTGTTTTCTTACTCCAAGACGACAGAGGTCTGGTGTGGAACAGGAATCAAAAATATTTCAGTCTCTCGATGTGCGGCGGATGACCACAGGGAAAATATGGCCAGCAGAAAGAGGCGTTTTTAAAGGCATCCGTGACTACTCAAGACGCGAGATGAGCAGGTAAAAACGCAATAAAGATATAACAAATATGGAGCTCACTAGCGAGAAATAATTGGTTAGCCAGGGAAATTAAGAGTGAGAGAATTTTTGAGAAATCTTGACTTGACAAATGTAGAAGCACTAGGATTAATACTTCGAAGTATTATTAAATAGACCTTTACGACTTCACAAGATGGACAGCGGGACAGGAGACTGATTAGACACCACAAACAGCAAGAGAATATTATAGGATTAGTTCAGACTGCTATGAATTAGTTCAGACATAGGTCCATAGCAACAATCAATATCGTCCTGGGAGTATCACCACAAGCCAGAGAGAAGTGATAATGTTGGAATTTGAATAAATAACAGATCACTAGGGACGTGTGCATACGGCTACGAGAGGACTACTCAATCTCGCCTCCATCTATCTCTGTGTCATTCATAGTTTGGTGGTGAGAACGTGTAGGCGCCACAGGTTGTGATGCTGCTCCCAGAAACCCTGCAGCAGTTGTCCCCAGCCCACTCAGCGCACCACCCAAGCCAATGCCAGAAAAGCGCGAAAACCGACTTGTAATGCGGCCGGCTGGTGGCGTTGCCGCCTTTGTTGGCATGCCAGCAGGACTGCTATTGGTTGCCGCTGCTGCTCCACTTTCTACAGGTGTAGACGGTGGTGCCAGCATGGGGTCAGCACCAGCCTTGCTATCTCCAATGGCAAAGTGTGGCACCGGGGCAGCAGAAGACACGGGCATTGTGGATGATGAAGAGCTGCTCTCTGCAGCATGTGAGGAGGACCTTGGCGGCTGAGGAGAGGTGTTTCCTCTCGCCATGTGTATACGAAGTTTGGGAGAGTCCGAAGACATTGCTGAAAGAGGTGCACTGCTTGAATGCATGGCCGGCTGGCGCAGTATCGTTGGAACAGATTCGCTGGTGTTGGGTGTGTGCTCTCCAGAGCCTACGGGTCTTGCATTAGAGCCGACAGACTCATCTCCTTTCTGATGAATGCCTGGCACAGAGAGGGCTTTTTGCAAGACATCGGCGCCGGTGTTTTGCTGCAGAGCCAGTAATTTCCACTTCAACAGCGTGAGAGAACCCTCCATGGGCTTCACGATACGAAGCTTTTCCGGCCCAGTGTACATGCGCCTCTCATGGCCATCGTTCATCTTTTTGGCACCTGCCAATGAAGATGTCGACGTGTCAGCAGGCGATTGGTCAGCCAAAGACTGTCGACTCGATGTGCTTGCAGTGCGAGCAGCTGAAGCATGGCCAGTGCCCGGTGATTCGTGTGAAGTTGGTGTGGACAGTGCTGCACCTAGTCCCCCCGTCCCGGTTGCTTGGTTGCGCTGATACACACCAGCTGTGCGACTCAGTGTCTGCTTACTGTCCAGGGAACGCACTGCACTCATGATCTGGTTAGCATGCTGGGAACGTGAGCTAAGCAGTGGGCTGGCACCGTTGCCTTGTGGCGTTAAAGGACCACCGGTAAATGATGAATAGGAGCTGGTGGCAGCGGAGGGTGACGCGAAGGACGGTGTTGCCGGGACGACTGCAAGTGGTGTTACATCCTGCACCGATACTTGCCGATAGCCAGTGGGGGTATGAGGAGCGGATGAAGGTGCCGTTTCGAGTACCTCTTGGGTGGAGAGGTCAGCTGCAGTTGGCAAGACGTGACCACTAGTCGGTGCACCGCGTGACGAGTCCAGGCGCTGAGGTGTAATTCTCCCTTGTGATCTGCTGTTGCTATTCAAGCTTGTTGGCGTAGTCGGTGTTAGTGGAGCTGCGGAAAGCGAGACCGAGGGTACCTTCAATGACGTGGTCACCAGTGGAGTAAACGCTGGTGTGGCCGAGCCAGGAGCCTCGTTGGCTTGGTTACGCATGGCGGCATTCAGCTCTGAGCCAATGGACTGCTGCCTGGGTATAGCTGCTTGTGTTGGCGTGGCCAGATGGCCGGGTAGATTGCCATGCTTACGATACAATGCCAGCTCGGACTGTGCGTCACGGAACAGTGTCAGGCACTCTACGTACTGTTCTTGGAGCTCTACAACCTGACCGGATAGGGTAGACTGGCGTGTTGACATATCCTTTAGCTCCGACTGTAGCAACACTTTCTCACTGCTCAGGTCCGTGTAAGCGTCACGTATACGATTGTTCATTTCGCGCAGGGCTGCAATCTCCTCCGTGTGCTGCTCGGCAACTTCCTCGCGATGCCGATACGCCTCCTGCATTTCGCCAAGGCCTTGTGTGGCTTCATTCAGTCGGCGAACACATTCCGTAATGAGCTCTTGCTCGCGTTGATCTAGCAACGCAGCCTGTTGGTGCAGTAGCGATGCTTCCTCCGCCAGCAGCTTGTTTGCCGAACGTAGCTCCTCACACTCGGCGACCAACAGCTGTGACGCCTCCTCCGATATGTTGCTCATTGACGACATGCTCCTTGCCGGACTCATACAGAAGCTGCGCACCGACGAATGGCTTGACTGCCGGGATGTCCGTCGCTGCTGCAACGCTTTCGCCCGCTCATCCTCATCTTCCATCTCCTCATAATACATCTTGAGGAGCTTTTCTTTGACGGTGATCTCATGCTGTAGCTGTGTCGTCTCCTTCTGTAGTTGATCGCGACTAGTCGACTGCACACGTAAGTCTGACTCCAGCGCCGCATTGCGTTCCAGCAGCTCCTGGCCGACACGCGCCGCCAGCTCCAGCGTTTGATCACGCTGCCGTAGCTGATCGCGTATGTCATCTAGATCCAGCCCGGACGCTGGTGCCGACTGTGACAATGGGTCATGACTGGACTCGGCTCCATCGCCGAGAGTACGCAACAAAGACAGCTCACCAAGATCGTGAACACCATCACTATTTCCAGCACCAGCATCACCACTATGAAAACCATCACTGCCACCAATGCCACTATTGATAACACTGCGTAGTTTCTCAGCATCGGAGTCACTGTGAGTTCCTCTCCGCGTACGGCGCAAGTACAGCTGGGCCAGTTCAAAAGTATCCATTGAAGCCAGCGTATCACTAGCCTCACTAGTACTGGTACTAGCGCCGTTGGCAGTCAGCAAAGCAGCAGTATTGCTGAGCAATTCCATTGATTCTCCAGAGCCCGCGCTCCGAGGCGAGCCAGCGCCGTTCAATTTTACGCTCTTGGATATCATCGCAGCCACCGATTCTCGCTCGTCTTCCGAGGAACATGACACGAACTCATGCTGCGAATCGACACCATCGATCACCGTCTGACCAACAAGCCTGATGCTATGTTGATCAGCAGAACCTTTTCGTTTCATTTCAGCGTAGTGCTGGCTGGTCGTGCCGCCTCCGACAACGGGAGCTGCAGGCACAGACGACGACCCATCGCCATCGGCACTTACTTGGTCCATTACCGAAGGACGAATAGCACACGGACAAGGCCAGCATGACAAATCGCCGCCCCCGTGAAAGCGCAGCACTAGCAACACGCCAACGATAAACAACAGTTACTGTTCAGCGCAGCGAGCAGTTTTTTTGTTCACCAGATCGTCGCAGAAGATACAAAGATCGATCTCCCGGGCTCGATTTAGCGTCAAGTCAAAGAATGCGACAGGCGATGTTCTGCCTGGTTAGCTCACCGAAACTCAGCTTTAGATTTCACCGGTACGCGGTAGGAAGGAACAACAAAAAAGTAGACTACGTCCTACGCGATGAGTAGATCTACATACAGGGTAGGAGTGCAAGACAACTACTGTCTTACTACTTTCTCCGGAGTGGATCTAGACTGGAAAAGCTCTACTGACCATGCTGACTCTGTCCGATCAGATTCAGGCAGTACACAACGCCACAACTGGCACAAGTGACACCAAGGACCATGCTGGATACTGCACGCACTGTACTCATGGTACTGGCAGTAGGCTACTGCACTGCCAGTACAGTACAGTGCGTGTAGCGCAGTATTACTGCAGTAGCCAGTCGAGTCGCGTGCGCGACCGGCAAGATTTGGGACAAAAAATGCGAACACTTACTGTGACTTAGTCTTTCGAATTTCAGCAGCAGCTAGGCTGTTTACGTATGTAGCCATGGTAGCGCTATCCTTCAACTCGCGCGATGCCAGACTACATTTTTGGACAAAAGAACACGGAATAATTTTTTATATTCTGTGTCGTTCTGTTCACCTGGTTCACGTCACAGACTCAGTCTAGTCGAGGCTGCTAGTGCTGGCACTTGTGGCAGTGTTGTGTTTTCAGTTTTCACCATCAGGCATCACTCTTACTACAAAGTCATTATAATCTGATTGTACTATTAAGACCAACGCATATGGCCGATTGGTTTGCAGGCCTGCCTGCGAATCATGAGGTCCCGAGTTCGAGACCCGTGCTGGCAGCAGGGAGCGTGTAAAAAGACTCCCGCGCTGGCAGCAGGGAGCGTGTAAAAAGACTTTTTACGCGTGTTGAACTGCGCCGACACCCACAGTCAACTGGGTACTCACAGCTCGAGTGAGGATAACAAGGATGGAGTTTACAGGGTTATGGGCCGTTACACGCCCGAATGGTTGAGAGACTCGCCTCCTTTCCCCTGACTCACTTGTAAGGTCTGCATTCGCCACTAAGGTGTAAAGGCATAGTGGTGGCCTGCGGAAGCGAAGTAGCTTGTGCGTTTCTGAACATTCAAGTGATGCTAACGCGGATCCCGCGAATATTGTACTATTTTAAAAGTAGTACCCGTAGTAGTACAGTCTTACTCGACGATGATGAAATCCAGTTGCATCCCTCAAGTACGTGCCGCGCGTTGCGCAGCCCAAAACCTGCGAACACTGGGCTACGAAATGGTGCAAGGCGCAGACTTGAGTGACGCGACTGGATTGTGCTGTTACAAGCAGGATTCAACACAGGCGCCAGACACCAACACGGGGAGTCGCAGTACCAAGAGTTATCAATAAAGAAGATTCGCTCATTCGTTTGCGTCAAGAACGCTCGGTCACTGAGAAATTGTGTTCCTTTCAGCCCTAGTACAAATTACAAATGTTTATGCACAGTACACACAGATACAAACTCTCAAGACATCCAAAAGACAGACATACACAATAGTCAGTGACCGGGACTACTAGACAAGGGAAGTATGATAGGAAATTCGTGATTTTTCTGGCGAAAGGCGAAGGAATATTCGGATGTGTGCTCTCCGCAGAAAGTACATAAACTCCTTTACCCTTTCTTGCTACCTCCCGGAAACTGAAGAAAACACTACTAGTACCCGGCAAAGCTCTACTGGAAATCTCCCCGGATGGCCCATATGTGCAGGTTCGCAATAGTCTCATTTCCATGCAAACTTGACCACCACAACTTTGGCAGGCGTGCCTGAGTGCCATGCCAGCACTCACTCACACAGCTTTCCGGAGTGTGACATCCAATCGTCGAGCGTGTAAAGACTAACTCACACCTGCACACGTGGGTGGTGCACAGTAGCGCCTAACTTATACACGCTGAATGCCAACAGTGCATGATCATGATCACCACCAGCATCACCGCACACATTACACAGTCAGTGACATTAGTACCAAACAATATTGATCGCAAGTTCGCAACAACACATGTAATACAATAAACACACACACACACAGACACCACACACACACACACACACACACACACACTCAGCGCAACAAGAACACCACCACCAGGCAGCGTCAGCGCTACGCAGTCCCAGATCTGTGACGATGTGCTTTAATGATGGGTGCAGGTTTCACTGAGGATGACCAAGAGTATAATATCCCCCCCAGAGTGTGCAACTATGAACACTGCTTGCAGTGTTGTCCGAAAAGCTGAAAGTTGATGTTATGATGATTTTCATGATGGAATGCTCCTTGCAGGTGTGATTTCGAGCGTTCAAAATGCACAAAGGCGTCAACCCGCCGCACTGGTGCTCTCTGACACGTGTTTGTACAGGCTTAGATGGCGATCTCTCCACCACTGGTCTAGGATACGTCTGAAAATACGTGCAAACCACATCATAAAAATGATTTCAGCTTGAAATTCTGTCGGAACAGCAGCACTGATAGTCGAGCTGCGCACTCTGGGGGGGGGGCATGTACTCTTGGCCACGGCAATACAATTGTACAATTGTCACAGTCATTATTCCGACGTTTTGTGTACGCGTGCTACTGTCAGTCAAAGAGTCAATAATATTTTGACATCCGTGGCACCTCACTGAAACATCAAACGAAAATAAACGTTTCAGGAGTTTTGGTGCAAGTCAATTCAAATACCGTCATGGCAGCTTCGCACTTTACACTACACACTACGCCAAGTAGTTAATGTCATGTACTTCGAAGTCAGCCATTTACAAAATTCGCGGGCTCACCGGCACTGCAGATTCCTGATTAGAACACAATGCACGAGACCACGTGGAGAGGCAGAGGAGCATGTGCCAGTACATCGACTACTTGTATTCGTATCCTAACTGCACAACTTCCGCCCAATTTACGAAGAAGTACATCTACAAAATACATGTAGTTGTTGATCTACCGTACGAAATACATGACACTGTCGTATGACATGTCGACATTGTAGTATGAAAGGCAAAAGTACAAGTTCGTAGACCATTTAGTAAATTTGAAGGTGACGGGACGTATCTAAATCACGGGGCATCGTCAAAGCATCGCCAATTCTTCAAATAAATGAACTGGTATCTTTATTGACAGGTGCAGAACGTACCGTGTGACTTCAGGCAAGGTTCCTCCTGACCAAAGCACTCCTTCACAGCCGACAATATCGAACTCTCCGACAACTCATTCCGGGGAACGGTGACATTTTCGAAGCGCCGCCAACGACACGAACACTCCAGTAAACCGATTCCCATTACGTTCAGAGATATAGTTCGCTTATCATCCTCTAGGTCCGCCATCGCAGCAGCCAGGAAGGCCAACTAAACAGGTTGGCAACCTCCAAAAATTAAACCTGATCAATCCTTCTGCATCTGGGCTCAATCAAACAGCAAACAGCTCCTGTCAACTGTCACCAAGCGATCATCCCGGTACAACTCCTGGAAACTGGGGAAAGACTGGCACTCCCATGCATCCATACATCCCGCGGTTCCCCGCTCCGACATCCCGCGCCTAGCTATAGCGCCGAGTTGCCGCCCACTTTTCTAGCATCAATCCCCCAAAAAAGGGCTGGCCATGGCCTGCTGCTGTGCCTGTGGGATCGGGGACTACAACGTACAAGTCGACTCCCGCGGATCCCGGTCGGTCACTGGTACTGCTAGTGAGTGCGTTCGATTACACACTTGAATCGATTCATGAATCCATTCACATGCATTCAAGTCGTTCGATTTCATGTCAGGGGCCCTGGAATCGATTCGGAATCCATTCACTCTATTCACATGGGGTGGTGTGAATAGCGCGAATCGATTCATGAATCGATTCGTGAATCGATTCGCGTGCATAATCGAACGCACTCAGTGTGTAGTGGTGTACCATGGTGTACCGGTACGCGGTGTCGAATGCGCGCCATCGCCGAACGGCGGGACTGCACTGATTTTTTTATATTTTTTATGGACAATTAGGGCGCGTTTGGTTGGTACGAACTAGAACAGGATTCACCAGAACAGCGCGTTTGGTTGGGACTGCACCTGTTCTGGGTCGGCCAGAACATGTTCTGCTTGCTCCGGTGTAAACGCGAAAACGGTTCCTCCGCGAAAATGGTTCCAGGCATACACCGGTTTCCCCCTGGAATCCACAGCCCACTAATTTCTGATGTATGACTAGCCGGGCTAGCCGCGAAAACGGTTTCAGGGATTAATTTTCTGGTGTAGGACCATCCGCGAAAACGGTTCCAGGCAACTGCGACCACTGAGTCTGTCTACTGTGGAACCGTTTTCGCGGACTGCAGCAACTGGGATCATCCGCGGAAACGGTTCCAGGCTCCAGTCTGTACATCCTTGACTCCTCCAGTAGATCTACTGGTACTGAGAAACTATTCGAAGACTTTTGTGACTGTTGCTTTCCATTGCCTTTGTAGAGAATCGCTCGCGATGGCCGAGGTATTTATGAGAGTTTGTGACTGTTGCCTTCCATTGCCTTTGTAGAGAATCACTCGCGATGGCCGAGATAATTAATAAATGAGAGTTTGTGAGAATTCTTATTTTATGGCTTTCCTCTCAGACCTTACAGTTTTTCAGTAGCTGTACTGCTGGCACTTGGCTTGGAGACATTTAGCAGGATTTGTGAGAACCTATACAGCTGGTACTTCAGTACATGGCTACCTGAACATTGATGGACATCTCGATTTGGTTTGTAGATGCAAATCATCGACAGCGTTCGTATCGCTTATACAATAGAGAGTCAATACAGATGGCCGAGACATTTAGCATAATTTGTGAGATATTAACCTGCACAGCTAGTACTTCAGTACATGGCTAGCTGAAGTATGGAGATTATGGAGATCTGGATTTGATTTCTGGATGTGAATCACCGTCAGCACTTATCAAGCCATCCATGCAGTACACCTACGTGAAGAACTCCTCAAGTCATGTATGTTGTACGCCTACGTGAAAAACTTAGTGGAGCTAGTGGAGCTGCACCATACTCTTAACATCTTGGCTGTGCCTGTGTCTGTGTCTGGCCAGAAAGCTAGAGATTACCTGGGACCCGCTCCCTCTACAAGAGGTCAGAGCTGGTGTCCAAGTGTCGTCATGAGAACAAGTTCTACCTTCGTAACTTTGTCGGCAACACATGCATAGCTTTGTAATCACGCTACCTGCTTTGTGTGTGGGTGAGGGTGTGTGTCTGCGGCTGTGACTTTCGCTGTCCGAATGACTTATCCCGACACAAGAATTACTGTGTGGAGAGGAGTATGTGGGAGAGACAGAGTGTGTCAGGGAGCGAGTCCAGGAACATTACCGAAAAGCGAGAGCCTGTGCACCGCAGAAGCCCTGGGGAGAGCACTGCGCATTGCACCAACCACTACAACATCCATCCACAGCGCCATTCATTCCCTTCACATCACCATCCATACTCGCAACGGAAGTGTCATACGTGAACCGCCGGATAAGGGAGGCAATCCACATCTCCAGACACCATCCTAAGGTGAACCGTGATCGTGGCTGGGTGTTGCTTGACAATTGACAATGTGAAAAATTGGATGATGATCATTGTTTCTGTTGCCACTGTCCTGTCCTGTTGTCATGTGTGCTTGTTCACGCCATTGTTATATACCGGTAGTTCAGCACAATGTTGTAGTGTAAGTGCAGTTTGGCGACGGAATCTCATCTCCTTTTCTTTTGTCATAGTCCCACCACTATTCACACCTTGTTTTCAGGCACATTGGTATTTTTTGTGTGTGTCTTTAGTTACACATGTTTGGGTGTGAGCTTGTGTGAGTGAGTGTTGGTGCGAGTGTGAGTGGGTGTTTCAGTATTTTGGCATGTGCATGGGTATGTGCCTGTGCCGAAAGGATGGTGCAATTTTATCACGTATGGTGTAGTTTCGTTCCACTTCGTGTTGCCTGTTATAGGTCCACCTCACTTGTTTTTTCTCCTCAATCCTGATGATGGCTCCTGGCCGGAAATTTGATTGAGAATTATTGTAATTGTAATGCTTGCTAATAGCTACTACAGTAGTAGTTGTTATTAGCTCTATACAATGTGATGAATCTGGAAAGGCGATTGTCTTCCATTGATTATTGGACTAAATTGGTCTAATGTGAACGTACATGTATACCACCCAATGAACACCCAACCGGGGATGTTCACACCCACTGGGTTATGGACACCTGTACAACGTGCATACTTTAGTGTCTTGTATTTAAAAAGCCTGTCTTGTATAGTCAATAGAAGCCTGGTTTCCATGCTGACATACAAATAAATACCTGGTTGAAGTATACGCCTGATACACAATACACGACATTACGGTACATGCATACACCCTTCTGTAAAATGTACATGCATCCACACCAGATATACATGATAATGCATGTCACAACGCCATTCAAACGTATAGAAGTAGAAAACCGTACTTTACCAATAAAGAAAGACACCAGTTTAAACAAAGAATAAGAATATTATAGTCGTGGATAGTTGCTGCATAACTCGTTCTCATGTATTTCTTCTCTTTTTTACATTTATAACTGGCTCAGTATCCGAGTTAAAATATAAAGGAAGTGTACGATAATTGCTCGGATACAAATGTAAAATAGAACAAAAACACTACGGAACGAGTGATGAAGCAACTATCCATGGCTATAACAAGATAATAAGCAGTCAGAAAGTGCGCTAACAGGGCACAAAACTGAATGTCTCAGTAGCCTGTCAGTTGTGTGCCCTGTTATCGTACTTTCTGCCTATTATCTTGTTGCAGTCGTGGATAATTGCTTCATAACTCGTTCCCTAGTGTTTTTCTTCTATTTTACATAGAATAATTGCAACAATGTGTCCAGTACAGAGAATGTGTCGAAAATGAAGGAGTCATAAAGGATCAAATCTGCTCTTTCAGAGTTAAAATAAAGTTACAGTCAGAAGACACAGAAGCACACCATACACATACCTAATAAATAAATAAATAAATTCGACGGGTTCGCGTACTGGGCAGGTCAAGAACAAGGAGTCGTACAACTCCCTGGTCAAGAACCACCTTTCCGCTTCCGTGGGACGCCACCACCCCATGATCAGGCGTCAGATGCAGCTCCTAAACGGTGGGGAGGATAGATCAGATCCACCAACCAGATGCCAAAGGCCTCAATCCCATACACATACCTAAGAATCATATAACTACAATATGAACAAAGCAAATGCTAGGTCCTAAATACACATCACTGTCTGAAAGTGAAAGCCTAAGAAAGTGGTGGGATTTAGCCCAATGTAACACACGATAGATGCATTCAAGACTTCTATGGCGTGCTACAATGGTTACCAGGTACAACCACGAGGAGGTACCCACCAATTGTACCCATTTTTTTGGCGCCAGTTACCATGCAATCCACATCGGAGGAAGGACAAGTAGGCTAAAGGAAAACACAAACAAACTACTTTTGGGGCATGCTACAAAGATTAGGTTGAAAGCTCACGACGCACTCATGAAAAGTGCATAAAATACGCACTGGGCAAGGTCAACTTACATCAGCTTCTTCCGCTCCTTGCTGAACGGAGTCTGCCGAAACTACCACACCATCCACATCGGAGGAAGGACAAGTCGGCTAAAGGGAAACACAAACAACAAACTACTTTTGGGCATGCTACAAAGACTACTGTAAAAGCCATTATTCTAACGAGGCGCATATATAACGATTTCCCAAAAAAATTACTGGTTTACGTGTACCAAAGGTAACAACGATTCTCACTTATTCTCAACGCTCAATAGGACAGTATATTAAGTATCAATTTCTGTATAACGATTTCTATTTTAACGACAGATTTCTCCTCGTTAACTCGTTAGAGTTATTATTAATATTATTACGAAGTAGTGGTTGCGACTTCGGCGATGATTTGTAAGAAAGGGTTTGCTCCCCACACTGGAGCTCGCGCTATTCCGCCGACTTTACTTGACACTTGACTGACTCACGACTGCCATCCAGAGCACACGAGAAGTCCATCGAACCTTCGACTCGGCAAACCTGCAAGAAAGCACCACTCCCTGCTCAAAACACAGTGTTTCGGGGAATTCACCCCTCATCAGTTGAGCTTGAGTAGGCTGAGGAAGATTGTGCCTGAAGAGCACCACTTATATAGTGCTCTCCAGGCACAAACATCACCAGGGATACAAACTTACTGAGACGCTCCGTTTCCAGCGCCACAAACACCTCGTGAACACCAGATAGCAGCGTGAGTCAGTGTCGCTCCTGGACGGTGAGAACGGATGGACTCGTGTGCTCTGGATGGCAGTCGTGAGTCAGTCAAGTGTCAAGTAAAGTCAGCGGAATAGCGCGAGCTCCAGTGTGGGGAGCAAACCCTTTCTTACAAATTATTAATAGAGAGGTTCTGCTACACGGAACTACGTACCAAATTCCGTGTCAACTGCAGTGAAGTTTGACA